TATAAACTGAACATTCAAAGATTGAATAGGTTTAAACAAAATCAGAAAAAAAAACCACTGAAGGTTCGAATGCAGGAATTTCTTGGAGTCGGGTATCAATAAATCAGTAGAAATGTAGATGGTAACGTATATCAAATTGCCGAATAATGTAGCTTTCGGATAGACTACCGCAAAATTGCTGAAGTATGCACTAAATCGTTGAAGGAATAGAATTATGCTCTGGCGGTATTAAGTAAGTTATAGATAATTGATCCGTGGTACTAGTCGACAACTTTAATGTGAAAGTGCGTAAATTACAACTGGAGATTTTGGTCGTGTTAATGGGAATGAAGGGGGTGATTTAATGGTTACATTAGCAGAAAAAACCCTACGACTCGTGAACATTATCTCTCGATAAAGAAAAGAAAGTATATATAGACATGGCACAGCTCAAAGGATTATCTATTAATCATTAACTAGCTTCAGTAACTTCAAACACAAAGTGTAAAGCAAATGATGTAATTATCAACTGATAGATACTGGTGCTGTGGTCAGCATTATCTTGAACAGAATCACTCATACTATAGTCTACAAGAGTTTATTCTTTTACGCCTAAAGTTAGCAAATGGCAAATAAGGAGTACGAAGAAAGGAAAGACAGGATAGGAAGTAACATTTAAAACACCGGAAAAAACGTTTTGAGAAGAAAGGGAAATTTACGTTATACGTTACATTCTTCTCTTTCTATACTTTTTCCTTTTTTATCATTAACTTATGATTATTAGCATCGGCTATCTTGTGTTTCTTATTTACATTCAAAAATATGATTTGTTGAATAAAACTTGACAGAGAGAGTTTATATATGAACCTTATTTTTCAAAATAATAAACCCATTAGTTATATACTTTAATAAGCATGACATACTAAGTGTGAGAAGATATTTCTTTGTAATTGGGTTATTTTTCTTTAAACCGTTTCCATGTTATATACTTACTGAGTGTACCAAATGATGCATTTGAGTGATCTCTGCAAGATTTTTTTTCTTTCTTTTAAACAGACGTTTTACAATTTGATTTCATCGTCAAATTTCCGGTAAAATTGGGATAATTATTTTTTATTTGATGAGTCACCGTTTTTTTTTTTCCTGAATTTGTTGTTGATGTGATAAGTAGAATACGACACATTTGTGCCTTTAGTGTTTGGTCGTGTGGAAATCCCATATATTACGTTTGGTGTTCGTTGAAGATATTCACTTCAGGATCGGCTTAAATTACATGGCAAGTGTCAGATTTTGGGAATCCCGGAGAGATATCATGCACAATTTCCTTTCCGAACAGTTTGATTTTGTTTTTCATCCTTTCTCTTCGTTTTCTTTATTTTTTCGCATTTTAGCACAACACGTACAATGCACATAGTGTTTCCAATTTTAAAAGTAACACATTCAGATCATCATTCTACTTATTTCATTTCACTTTTTATCAAATAGTCGAAAAAAAATGCAACCAGGATGGCATATAAGTCTGTCGCCTTCTAGTATTAAGTGTGAATCCAATTATTATAATTATTTTTACATTCATTGTTAGTATAAAGCATCTCTGATAAATTACCAGTTCATTATTTACTTCTACCACATGTCAGTTTTGTGGTGTACCTAAACAACAAACAAATCCGTTGGAAGGCAGAAACGCAGGACCTGAAACTCGTCTTCATGTCATGCTGGGCATTTCCTATAGTCCAGTTTTCGAGAGAAGTGGTCCCGTCTAGGACAATACCCATGATGTAAAGGGGAGCAAACAATTTGTCATATAATAATAATAATAATAATAATAATAATAATAATAATAATAACAATAATAATAATAATAATAATAATAATAATAACAGTGATCATATTATTAATGATAATAACGATATTATTGGTGATAATAATGCTAAAAATAAATGTGCTAATAACAATAATAATAATAATAATAATAATAATAATAATAATAATAATAATGATAATTTTAAAATTTACAACAGCAACAATAATGATAATGATAATAATAATGATAATATAATAATAATAATACTGATAATAACAGTAATAACAATAACAGTAATAGTGATAATAATAAAACCAATAATAATAAAAACAGTAATAACAACAACAGTAACAATAATAATGATAATAATAACGATGATAATATTTTTTCTTACTATCATTATCGTTTACACCATCGTTATTGCGTGTGTATGTGTGCATATGTATATATACATATACATATATATGAATAAATATATATATATATATATATATATATATATATATATATATATATATATACATATATATATATGTATATATATATATATATATATATATATATATATATATATATATATATACATATGCATATATATATATATATATATATATATATATATATATATATATATATATATATATGTATGTATGTATATATGTATGTATGTATATATCTAAAAAATTATATGCATAATATATATATATATATATATATATATATATATATATATATATATATATATATATATATATATATATACGTGTGTGTGTATGTGTGTGTGCGTATGCTATAGATATGGTGTGTTTTCCATAACTTTTAATAACCATTACCAGAATATAATCGCATAGTAACTTTAATTCCTGACTGCGAATTTCCAAACGACGAACTTGCATAATGTACTTTAGCGAGAACAGACTGGCGGGAAAATTCCATTCAGCAGAAGTTACAGGGCCGGTTCACAGATGGCAGCCCTTGTAGTGTTAAATTTTACCAAGAGATGGCGTCACCTATACGAAACCATACTTTTTGTGGTCCTTTTAATATGGCGAAACCACACCACCTTGAGACGAGTTTATGTCACGATGAGTAATCCGGAGTCTTTGGAAGAAATGCATTTATTTTTTTATTGATTTATTTATTAAAAGACGCTGGAATATAGATGCGTATGGTTTATAATGCAAAACAGGTTCGGGAACAGTTATCAAATGCGATAAGAGTTCATTCTTTTATCAGCGGCTTCCTGAGTAAGTTGGATGATAAAGTCTTCCTGATACTGCTACTGACTCATGTGTCATATTACTCACTATTAAGTATGATGTCAACTTTATACCCCTTTCCATTCCATTGCGATTATAACATAGAAGGGAGAATTCTGAAGGAAAATATAAAGTAAATATGTATAAATGTTTTTATTTTTAATGTTGCTGTTATTATGATTATTACTGTTTTTATTACTGTTGTTGTTGTTGTTGTTGTTATTGTTGTTGTTGTTGTTATTATTATTACTATTATTAGTAGTATTATTATTACTATTATTATTATTATTATTACTTTTATTATTATTATTATTATTTTATCATTATTGTCATCATCATTATCACTAATATTATTATTATCATTATTGTTATTATCATTATTATTATCATCACTATGTCATTATCATTATTGCTATAATTATTATCCTAATTATCATCATCTTTTCCCATGACTGCTTTGTGTATATAAACGTAAACATTTTTTCTTACATGTGAGATACATCTATAGTTTGGTATCTAAGAACTCACACACGCGCACACACACACACACACACACACACACACACACACACACACACACACACACACACACACACACACACACACACACACACACACACACATCATTCACATGATAAACAGGTTAGCTTTACCAGAAGTAAGCTGGCCTCACAGCCAGAGAGACCGCATGCACAAAGGATTCCATAGAGTAGCTCACATCATGCAAGCAATTACAATGTTATGGATATTATTTTTTTCCAGAACAATTCAAAGACACAGGTGGTAAACAGTTTTTTTATACAGATTTCTTGAAATGCCTTGCGTTTCTTATTAAAAAAAATCACAATGTACCAATAAACATGCATATCAGTGCACTAGCAATATATATATGTATGTGTATGTGTGTGCGTGTATGTATATAATATATATATATATATATATATATATATATATATATATATATATATATATATATATATATGGCACACACACACACACACACACACACACACACACACACACACACACACACACACACACACACACACACACACACACACACACACACACACACACACACACA